ATTTCAACTGATAATTTGCCCTGCCAAAGTCAAGCCACAGTTTCTACATATACGGAATTGTTATTTTAAATTAAGATAGAAGCAGTTTCTCCTCTGAAAGTGGTTTTTTAAAGGTTCACATCCATTTATGAGCTTGGCATCCCACTAATGCTGAGTTGCTTTTACAACTGCGTCATCAACGTGCCGTCTGCTTATTGAGGCTCATGGAAGGAAATAAACCTGTTTGTGTTACACTTCGTGCAGCATCTTTTTGAGGGCCAGTGGAAAATTTTCCCTTTGGTCTTTCTAAGAATGGTTATGCTTCTCAGCTTTTTCAGTCTTCGTATACCATGTGGTTGATCATCTGTCTTTGTTACCATAAACTGTTGGGAGGCCTGAGGTCCAGTGTGTGGCTCACCTCTGGGAAGTCTCGGACATCTTTTAAACCTTCTTGTACCACCCTCTCTCTTCACTCCAACTTTGTTTTCTACTCTCTCTCTTTTTTTTTATCTTAGCCAATTCATACTTTTTCTTCTCCTTTTTCTGGCTGTGCCTATTTCTAAGAGTTACTTTTTCTAATTCATTAGGAGACAAATGGGTTAAATTAAGCAACAATACTGCCATTATTGAAGCCAAGATTTAAAAAAAACTATAGCAATTACCTTCAACTTTCCCTCCATATCAGGGCGGGTGAGAGAGAAGGTGAAATTGTCAGAATTCAAAAGCTCTTTCTTCCTCTAGAAGCCTTCTTAGTGTCTCTTTAACTATCTTTTAACAGAAGTTGGCGAAATGGCAAGGCAGTACCTGGAGAAAGGTCTTTTGGTTCCAGATCACGTGATCACACGCCTAATGGTGTCAGAGCTGGAGCTCAGGAGCGGCCAACACTGGCTACTGGATGGTGAGTGGGCTGTGGGTGAGCTGGATTTCCTGGTTGTGGTTTCCTTGCACACTCGTTTTTGAATACATTGGAAAGTCCTATTCTTCCTTCTAAACTCTCTTGTCATGTATTCAGTGTTAGGATTTGGCAGCATAGAAATTCACTGTGGTGAATTCTCTTAATTCACCGTTTTCAGACCACCGTCATGAGAGCCCTGACTTGAAGTAACCTTTCATGGGATTGTTGGTATTGTTCCAGTTTCCATGGTGCCCTGTTTCCATGACTCAGTCACCTTAAGTATACCTCATCTTAAAATTCGAGGTTCTTTCATTTACCAGGGACTACACAAATCACAACCATGAGTCACTAGTTTTCACCTGGTGGATTAACAGAACATCTGCAAACCTTTTACTGAGTATATAGGAAACAAGTACTGTTGAGCGTCACATGGACAGCCTTTGGGGAGCAGTTTAGCGATGTGTATACTTTTCCATCTGGCACTTCTATTCTGTATTTCTTCCTAAAGAGGAATCTTCAAGCTTGTTTATTTCAGCATGATTGGTAAATAGTAACAAACTGTCCCTGCTCTTAAGGGGCTTATATCCCAGGAGGGGAATCAGTTGTATAAAGAAGTACAAAGAATTAGTTCCTAAGCAAATCATATGGAATAACTTTTATGAAAAGAGGGATGAGTTACTAGATGTCCTCAGGTAGCTGAACGAGTCGGGAAAGCAGATTTAATTAATTAATTATTATTATTATTATTTTTTTTGCAGAGAGTCAATGTGTACAATTTAAGAGGGGCATGACTATGCTTAGTATTCTCCTAAACCTTCCAGCAGAATAAGTCAGGAGGCTAACCTTTGATTCTGTACAAAAAGGGTGAGACTGGGAATTTCTCGTCATAGTGATTAGTGAAGAGTTATTAAATAGAGGGTACAACATTATCAGATCTCTCTCCTGTCATGCAGGGCAGGAGAGATGGAGTGCTGGGGCAGGAGGGAGAGTGGCAACTAGAAGCCAGAGAAGACATCCTTATAGCCACTGGACTAATGGATATTCTAGGCCTGAATTTAAGCAATGGCAGTGGGATGGAAAGGAAGCACCACATGGGTGAATAGACTGAGAAGGGAGGATGGACAGGAGTCATGGGTGGTATAGTGTGTTATGTCTCTGAGACATTCTCCATTGTCATCTGAGGCTTTTTGAGGCTTTTGGCTATCATCATAAAAGTCATTTACGCAGATTCTGTGCCTTTAACTCACTAAGGCAAGCTCCCCAGTACTTTCTGGGTGAGCATTTGGCATAGCTGATGAATTCTATCTTTTCCATCACCTCCCGGTCGATTCCATAGTTTCAATTCTTTGTTGGGCTTTTGTGTGTGGTTTTAGTGAATTTAAAGATCTAAGTTAAGAGAGGATCACGTATGATCACCTTTCCTTTGGAGATGATCATAGCATGGCGGGCCCTGGTATCAGTCTGGGCAATTTGAATCCCAGCTCTGCCTCTTCCTGGTTGTGTTTGACCTTGGGCAGGTCACCTCACCTCTGTGCATCAGATTAGATTCCTCATGGAAAATGGATGAGGAAAGACTTTTCATAAGGATCAAGTGAGCGAATATTTGTTAAGTGCTTAGAAGAGTACTTGCCATGCAGTTCGTGCCTTGAAATTTTCTTCATTTTTATCATTTGTGCTGGCTGGTGTGCAGGTCCAGAATTTTGGAGGGGGATTTTGGGGCGGGGGTGGGGGTGGGGTGACTACTTGAAGTATTAATCTCAAAAACAGTTCTAAAAATATTTAGCTGTTCAGAGTCAAAGTCAAGTTACAGCCATGGAATGTTCTGCAACTCCTTTCAGTGCTTGCTTTTGCCATCATCGTGCCTCTCGGGGTGAATAACTGAAGTTCTTTTACGTCGCAGGCCTGTTTTTAGTAGAGTGCGTCAGTCTCCCAACTGATTTAGTTTGCATCTTTCTCCTTGAAAACCCATCTGGTCACTTTCAGTTGTGATTTTTCTTTAAAGCTCTGGAAGCTATCCATTTGGCCAAGGGAGGAGTGTGAAAAATGGCTGGTTCCTGTGTTTGGCTTGAAACTCCTTCTGTTACAGGGCATGTGCTCGTGCGCCGCGGAGGACGTGCCTGTTGAGTGTGCTAAAGGTGATTGAATGTGGAAAGGTCAAGGAAGGAATTCTGGGTGGTGGGTGACTCATCATCTGGTCCATATGGCTGGAGAGGCATTGTGCTAACTGGTGGGTGGGAGGAGGAGAGTGGAAGCAGGCCAAGGGAACACCACCCCTGGAAGGTGGGGGGTGCTCCAAGTTTGGACAGCTCTGGCCTAGCTAAAAAGCTCAGCACTGCCATGTCTTCACAGGAGTTGGAGAAGAAATACTCTATTGTTTGAGTGTATGGGGAGAGGTGAAGGAGGAAGAAGATTTTTCCCCTTGAGGATTGTAATAATACAATTGACCCTTGCAATTTTGTTATAAGATCCTCTTTTTTTCTCTTCTATGAATAAGGTGTTTACTTCTGACCAGGTGCTCCCAAGGCAAAATGATAACTAGGGAACTGTCAGGTATTGAAAATAAATCCTGGGCTGGAGTTATAGCTCAGTAGTAGAACCCTTACCCAGCATGCGTGAGGCCCTGGGTTCATCCCTCAGCACCACACAAAAATAACATGAAGTAAAACACGTGTGAATGTGGAAAGGTTTTCACTTATTTTTAAAAAGTGCCATCAGTGAGCTCAGTGGCTCACGTCTGTAATACTAGCACCTTAGGAGGCAGAGGCAGGAGGATTGTAAGCTCAAGGCTGGCCCCAGCAATGTAACAAGGCCCCAGGCAATTTGGTAAGACCCTCTCAAAAAGAAATAATAAAAAGGGCTGGAGGTGTGGCACAGTGGTAAAGCACACCTGGGTTCAATCGCTGTGGGGAGAAAAAGTGGGGGACGTTGAGGTCAGGTCAGTGGGGAAGTATATTTTAAAGGTCCTCATTTCTTAACTTGACTGTCAACCAGTGCATTTAAAGAAGAACTTCAAGTTCTCTCACTTAGCCCTAATTTTTTAGGTGAAGGTATAAAAATATTTTAAATTTGGTATATTAGTACATTTTCATTGCTGTGACAAAAATACCTAAGCTGTGTAACTTATAAAAAGAAAAGGTTTCGTTTTCTTGAAGTTTTGAAGATCCAAGAGCATGATACTGGCCACCGTGGTTACATCATCACATCATGGCAGGAGCACATGTGAGAGGGAGATCCCATTGTGAGACTGGAAGCCAGAGAGTGGGGTCAGTCTTATTCTTTTATCCTTCACAAGTCACTCTCATGGGAATCAACTGGAGTCTGAAGAGAACACATTAATCTCTTCATCATTCCCAACCACTTCCCACTAGGTTTCACCTTTAGAAGGCGCCATCCCCTCCCACATTGGGGAAGCAAGCTTAAATCCGTGAACCTCTGGGGGACACAAATAACCATATCCAGATGATAGCATTTGGTTTCATGGAGAGCAGCTTTAAAATTGGGAAATTAAAGTGGAATATAAGTCTTTAATTGGAGATAAAGATAACTTCAGAATGATAGTCATCATTTGGTCTCTAGTTGTATTTAGACTATGGTCTATTTTTTTTCTTCTTCTGTCTGACCAGTATTGAACACTAGCTGATGCTTTCTGAAGGAAATCAAATTTTCTTTTTATTTATTTTAATGCAGAAGTTAACACTGCTTAAATATGTGCGATGTTTGTGGGTTTCCCCCCCGCCCTCTGAGAGTTAAAGCTCTTAAATCAGATATTCCAGGGTATGTGCTTGCTCACTTAGAGCTCTCTGTCTCCTGGAAGGAGGTGTCTGTCCAGAATGTAAACTACAGATGAGGAGCTAGGAGTTTTGCCCTGATCTTGCAAATGTGTTTTACCATACTAGACTGATGCATAACTGCTCTGACCTTATCTCCTCCTATTTTTCTTTGTGAAGCCCACCTCTGGAGAGTGTCATATCCCACTGGGCAGCATATGTCTACTGGAAAAAAAAAAAAACAACAAACCAACAATATATTCTGAATTGCATCTCTTAGGAATGCCAAGGGCAATATTTTTCTGTTGTCCTTGTGAATGCAGGTTATGTTTCAAGAATAAAATGTATAATAGAAGTGTTTGGAAGGTCACTGAAAGGTTCTTTTGGAGTGAAAAGTGAGCCAGGTGTGGTATGCATGCCTGTAATCCCAGTGGCAACGGTGGCAGGAGGCCACCCTCAGCAATTTAGTGAGGTCCTAAGCAACTGAGCCAGACCCTGTCTCAAAATAAAACTTAAAAAGAGCTGGGTATGTGGCTCAGTGATTAAATGCCCTTGGGTTCAATCCCTTGCATAAAACAAACAGCAACAACAATCAAAAAAAGAAATAGAACTGTGCATGGTGGCACATTTATAATCCCAATCTATTCAGGAGGCTGAAACAGGAGGATGGCAAGTTTGAGGTCAGCTTTAGCACCTTTGGGAGACCCTGTTGCAAAGTTAAAAATGAGAAAAGAAAAGGAGAGGGACTTTGTAGCTCAGTGGTATGCTTAGCATGCTCAAGGCCCTAACTTCTATCCCCAGCACCACAAATACATACATACATAGAAATACATACATAAATAGAAAATAATCATCCTGTGTGTATGAGGGTTCTAGATATTTCTCTCTCTCTCTCTCTCTCTCTCTCTCTCTCTCTCTCTCCAGTACTAAGAATTGATACCACTGAACTGCATTTCTAGTCCTTTTATGCTTTTTATTTTGAGACAGGGTCTCATTTGTGTTTGGGTAATGGGTGTCTAACCACTGAGCCACATCTCCATCCCTTTTTTATTTTAACTTTGAGACAGGATCTTGCTAAGTTGCTGACGATGGCTTTGAACTTGTGATCCTCCTGCCTCAGTCTCCCAAGTTGCTGGGAGGACAGGTGGGCGACACCATGCCTGGTTGTCCCAGATATATTTCTAAAGTGAATAAAGCATGGGTCTGACTGGCTTTGCACTGACTGACAGTGAAGGA